ACCAGTCACCCAGATCCTTTTTCACTTACCAAAAACATTTAGAATGGTAGCTATTTGAAAGGTTGAAATTAGTAGTTTTAGAGCTGTTGTTAAAAATATAAGCCAGGGGCTGGGGATGTGGCTCAGGCGGTAGCGCGCTCGCCTGGCATGCGTGCGGCCCGGGTTCGATCCTCAGCACCACATACCAACAAAGATGTTGTGTTCGCCGAGAACTAAAGAATAAAAAATATTAAAAATTCTTTCTCTCTCTCTCTCTCTCTCCTCTCTCTCACTCTCTCTTTAAAAACAAAAATGAATCTGATAATTTCATTCATTTGTAACAAATCCAGCTAATAACTATATAAGGATTAGGAAAGTCAGGAATGTTTCCAAAAATAATTTACACAAAATTAATGTACATCACCTGTGCCTATATGCATTACTTGCTAAATTATGTTATTCTACTATAAATATCTACTGACCATAAAACAGCCATCTTCCTCTTTACAATCAAAATGATTACATTAAGGTCTGAACAACAGAAAAAGAAACCTTGGTTCCACAGTGGGTTTATTATTTTCTAACACTTACTTAATAGTGGTGGTCATACTCTGTGCTTGCTGCTGAGTGCCATTATTGATTGTGTTGGTGTTTTTCAACTGGTTCATCTGTTGCTGTGACTGTGTGCCCCCTCCTCCGGGGCCACCACTGGGCTTCACAGGGCCCCTCAGCTGACCATTTTGACTGGACAGACCCATTATAACAGGGTTCTCTGTTCTGGCCGTGCTCATGCTGTGTTAATTGCAAAGGTGTCTCTTTCAAACTTCAAAACTTTTGAAAGTCAGTAGAGAAACTGTAATAACAGTTTATTAGGCTCTCCAAAATGAAGAGATAAATAAGTCTTGCTCAATATATGAGTCCTTTATTGCAATGCAGGCAAGCACCTGTAAGTCTCTGAACGGTAAGCAGCAGTAACTTGCTGTCATGCACCGAATCAACTTTTTATTTTTAAAAAGCCCTCTAACAAGCTTGAGTAATATCTGAATTCACTCACTTCAATCTGAAACAAAGAAAAAATTAAGTTAGCACACACAGGAAAGTTAAGAAGAAACCTGTTTCCCTTTTAAAGAATTTCTTTAGAACTGTCATCTTTAAAAAAAAATAAGAATACTGCCATACTTAGGTCAAATCACTAGCGACGCTAGGAGAGACAGTGATGAGCTGCCTCAAAAACCAGTCAGTAGTGAGACCAATCTCAAACCATTAAAAATGTGAGATCAAAGCAACCCATAGAAAATTATGGTGGAAAAATACTATGATTAAATAGCATTATTAAATATCTTGGAAAGATACTATGATTAAATTAGCATTACTAGTCAAAAAAACACAATCCGAGCCGGGTGCGGTGGCGCAGGCCTATAATCCCAGTGGCTGGGGAGGCTGAGGCAGGAGGATCACAAGTTCAAAGCCAGCCTCCAAAACTTAATGAGGCCCTAAGCAATTCAGTGAGACCCTGTCTCTAAATATAAAACAAAAAAAGGGCTGGGGATGTGGCTCAGTGGTTAAATGACCCCGAGTTCAATCCCAGTACCAAAAAAAGGAAAAAAACAGTTTCCTCCCTAATGAATTCTCTACAAGTCTCTGCCACCTTTAAAAGTTAATGATTCATTATACTTAATCACATTACAACTCAGTGAAATATCAATCTATTTAATGTAATTCTAGATTTCAACAAGGCAATTTATTTTTTTATTTTTCTGTCAGCAACCAAGAACCTTTGAAGGGCTGGGGATGTGGCTCAAGCGGTAGTGTGCTCGCCTGGCGTGCGGGCGGCCCGGGTTCGATCCACAGCACCACATACCAACAAAGATGTTGTGTCCGCCGAGAACTAAAAAATAAATATTAAAATTCTCTCTCTCTCTCCTCTCTCACTCTCTCTTTAAAAAAAAAAAAAAGAACCTTTGAAGAGTTAAATTAGCTTTTAACTTGAACATTGTGCTTTAAAAAACAAACAAACAAAAAAAACAACTTTTGTTCCCTTCTGAATTTCAACTATTGAACTTTATGAAGAAATATATTTTCTTTTTTTCCCTTAAGTTTTTGTCCTTTAAAACAATAAATAGGATATGGACATGCCTATATGTCAAAATCTTTTGCTTCAAAAACAGCCAAGAAAATCTTTATTTACCTTAATAAAACCTAGAAACTAAAAAGTTACTAGTTACTTCTCAATAACACTTTTCAAAAAGTACATCTTAATTTAAAATTGCATCTTTAAAAAAAAAAAAAAAGTAAATTTCCTGTTAAAAAGCTAAACACACTAGTGACTTCAATAAAACTTTCCAAACAACCCAGAGTAGTAAATCTAATTACTAGTTCTTAAAAAGATCTGGTCAACTTCCTCTATTTTTCAATTGTTTCCCAAAATAAAAAAATTTAAAGCTTAATAACAACTTATACCAGAAAACAAAAAGTCCAACAGTTATTTTTTAACTCCTTTCCTTTTCTCCTCTCCCCCCCCCCAATACTAAAGTGATGATGAGTTTTGCCATACACCAAAATCTCAAAAATTTAAAGCCAAGATAACTCAAAAAATTAGGGAGAAAAGCTTCCTAGTTACATCTACCTTTAAAAAAATTTTTTTAATAAGTTGCTCACAAGCAAATCCTGAATGTATCACATACACTGAGCTGTTTATTTAGAAGTTTCCCTGACCCCTATTATCTGTTTACATGGTTAAGATCTACTTTTCTGTATTGAAAAGGTTTATATTATGATCAACAATATCACATAGTTCATAGGGAGATTTTCTTGTTTGCAAAGCACTAAGACGATGAAGAAGGAACCTCTAAAGACTGAGAGATAGTCGTCATTGTCCATCAAGCACAGTAAGACTTCCTATCTCCTTAAATCCAAAATGAGATAACTGCTCCCTTCTTAAACTGACACCTGCATTGCAGCTTTATGTCTCAGAGAAAGAACTATTCCTCCTACCCCCTTCCCAATTTAGAATTCCTAGTTACATTTCTACGTTTTTCAAAAACCCGAAGGAACGTAGACTACTTGGGAGGAGTCCCTGTCGGAGTTAATTACAACACTTCCCAGATCGTAGTTAGCAATTGACAGTTTCACACCCAAAACAGTATCGTCATCTCCAATAAGAGCTTTTGTTTGCAAATGCAGCGCAATTCCTTCTCTAAGCTTTGGCAGCTAGTTGGAGTGCCTGGGATTTACTCTTAAGGGAAAAGGAGACTGTAGAAGAAAAAGGGGAGATAGGGGAAAGAGACAAGCCAATGATTGAAGCCCCATAACTACAGGGCGATAATTTCTTGGGGCCCCCCTCCCCCAACCACACACACTCAAGTCAGCTCCCTCAAACCAGAAACACAAAGGGTTGGGGCCCTGCAATCCTATCTGCGCAACAAGAGCCAGGAACGAGCTCCGCCGGTTGGAAACAATAGGGACTCCCCCTGTAAGGTCCCTAGGAGGTTCCCCCAAACCCAAAAAGCCCCTACTTTCCTCCACGACTCGGGGACTCCCTAAGCACCGTGTTACTGACCTACAAGGTCTACTGCAATCAAGCAGCTGCCGGTCCTCCTCTGAACCGAACCTTTCAATACGGCATATCCCTGCCGCCCCCTATAGGGCCGCCTCGTACCCTATAACCTCCACCATCACCCCCACCCCCGGTCCCAGCCGCCCCTTTTGGCACCCTTTCCCATCATCTTCCACCAAGCTCCTGCGAGCTCTTGGCCCGCCTATCCTCCCGACCCCGCCGCGCACCACATTCCTATATTCCACTCCTCTCAGGCGCCCCCACCCCACACAGCTGCCGCCAGCTTTCCTCCCAAGGCCGGGAGAGGCCTCAGGCCTCCGCCCCAGAGAGCCCCCCACGCCGGCCCTAGGGGCTCCCCGCAGCCCCCAGGGCACCGCTGGCCTCGGCCCCACCGCCTCACCCCACACCCCGCGGCTCGGGCCCGAGTCCTACCACCGAGGCCACTGCCGCTCGGCACCCTCGGTCCTTTATTGTTGACTCGAAGCTCCCAAAATGGCGGCGGCTCCTTCC